AATGTGCTATGTGAAAAAGACCAGATACAGAAAGTCAAGTATAACATGTTGTCACTAATAAGTAGGTGCTAAAATGTGTTTATATAGATATAGAGGGTAGAATTATAGGCACTGAAGCCTTGGAAGAGTGAGTGGGTGGGAGGGAATTAAGAGTTAGACATTAATTAGTAAATGCAATGTTTGTTATTCTTATTATGGAAACTCTAAGGCCATGATTTAACCATTATGCAATCTATGCATATAACAAAATTACCTTTGAACCACATATATTTATAAAAATAAAGTTTAAAAATAAATGGAGGGTGGCCGGGCACAGTGGCTCACACCTGTAAGCCCAGCACTTTGGGAGGCCAAGGAGGGTGGATCACGAGGTCAGGAGTTCAAGACCAGCCTGACCAACATGGTGAAACCCCGTCTCAACTAAAATTACAAAAATTAGCCAGGCGTGGTGGTGCATACCTGTAATCCCAGCTACTTAGGCTGAGGCAGGAGAATCACTTGAACCTGGGAGGTGGAGGTTGTAGTGAGCCAAGATCTTGCCACTGCACTCCAGCCTGGGTGACAGAGTGAGACTCTGTCTTAAAAAAATTTAAAAAAAAATTTGAAGGCAAATTTAAGCATATGTTTTCAAGAAAGAAAAAGAAGGAGATGGAGGAGAAGGAGAAATAAAAAAGAAGAAGTAGGAGGAAGAGGAAGAAGAAAGAAGAGGAAGAAAAAAGAAGAAGGAGGAGGAGGCAGAGGAGGAGGAGGAGAGGGAGAAGAAGAAGGAGGAGGAGGAGAGGAAGAAGGAGGAGGGGGAGAGGAAGAAGAAGAAGGAGTAGGAGAGGAAGAAGAAGGAGGAGGAGAGGAAGAAGGAGGAGGGGGAGAGGAAGAAGAAGGAGGAGGAGAGGAAGAAGAAGGAAGAAGAGAGGAAGAAGGAGGAGGAGAAGGAGGAGGAGGAGATGACAACAAAGAAGACCAGTGTGGCTATAGCTGGATCAATTAGGTATAGAGCAGTCAATAAGTTCAGAGAATGATAGCTCTACCCTAATGAACTTGACCACACTCAAAATTAGGGTTTTGTTCTTACAATGTAAAAGAGGGGGTAAATGCACTAAAAAAGATACATGTGTAATATGATTATTAAATAGTTACAGTGGGGAACTGTTGAGAAAAAATAGATTTGCAATTTGGAGTAAGGTAGAAATGAGGCTTGCTTAGATGGGCAGATAGTGATGATGGTGCTAAAAAATTGCTGCAGTAGAAACATACTTGAAGGTTGAACTTTAAAGCAGTAGCAGAGTCTATTTGACCTGATGTAATGTGACGAAGAAGAGTCAAGAATGACTTGCAGTTGGCTAAATCACATAGATGATTATAGATGCTATTTACCAAGAGGAAACAGTTTTGAAAGACAATAAACTTGTAGCTGCAGGAGGGAGGCAGCAGAGGTAGAAGAAACCATAGGAGACATTGAGACATCCCTGGAGATGTTGATAAAGTGTTACAAAAAGAAGGATATATTCAATAGTGTTACATTGCTCAGAGGTCAAAAGAGATGCAAGATTGAAAACAGATTCCTAAACTGACTGGAATAAAGGTCAAAGATGACCATCACAAAATTGGAGTGCAAAGTGTGAAAGCCTCTATAATGAATGTGGAAGAAAAATTGGAGGTGAGTGAAGGGAGGAAATACTATACGTATATGTTTCAAGAACTTTGCAATAAGGAAGGCAGACAAATAATGTCATAGTAAGGAAGAATTAAGAGCCTTAGGGAGACCTTAGTAAAAATGAGAGCTGTTTCAGCAAGTTTGTGCTGCTTGAAATAATCCCATGGAGCATACAGGTAAGATTCAGGAGACAAAAGGATCATGTGCAGAATCAAAATCCTTGATTAGGCAATGAGATAAAAAATCAAGTAGGAATGGAAAAGATAGAGGCAAGGAGGCTTCACCTAGGATAATAGGAGAGAACTGGGCTCAAACTACATGTGGGTTGGTCAAGTTGGTGGCTTTTGTGGTGAGATCATTCTGTTCTGATTGTTTTTGAACTTCTTAGTGAAAGCACTTAGGCTATCAGTTGAGATAGTAGCAATTTTCCAATGTTGAGCCATCTTTACCATCCTCTTTCAACATGGTGGATTATTTTCGGCACAGATTGACTTGTTCATTTACTTCTGAGTATTTTTCCTTTGCAGGTCTACTTGTTTTCATGAATGAGCCTCACAGAATGAATTCTGAATGTTTTTAGCCTTTGTTATAATTTCAAAAAACTTAAACTAGAGATATCTGTTCCTATGCTTAACAAATTCAACATAAGAATTTTCTGTGTTCATTGACATTGGAGATGACACTGGCAGTTGCTTGCAGAGAGTCTCCTCTCAACATCATTCATTTTTCTTAGGTTATTTTATATTCAATTTTTCTGAAACTTCTTGAGTCATATTTGATAACTTATGTTAACGCAATATTAATGTCATTGAAATTTTTATATGAGAAGAGTTTTACATCATGTTTTCTGCTTTTTTTCAAAATTTTATACATCTGTGATTAATTTCTCCCTCTCATTTCTGAAGTTTTTATTGTTTTCTGCTTTTTTAATGAAACTATAAGATGTTTGTACCTTTTATTTTTGCTTAAGAACTAGACTTTCTGTCTGTTATAAATTAGATTGCTTCTCTGTTTTCTCGTTCTAGATATTTTAATTTGAGTGGTACACAGAAAATAAAGACATTATGCAGGCAATAATTTGCTGTATTAACTAACATGGTAGAAATCTCTTAGATTTCAAAAGTCTGCATTTCTCATTGTCATAATTAAATTTCCATAAGGAGATACTTTTTTTTAAAAAAAAAGAACTAATTAGAATTTTACAAATAGCCTTATAAGAAAGAAAATGCTAAAAAAATATGAATACGCAATGTGTTCCTATTTTGTTTGAAAGCCTAGAGAAAACCAATGTCAGAGACTATTGCACTTAAATTTTTTGACAAAGAAATCTTAAGATTTTTAACTTGGGAGCATTTAATTCCTCACAATTTCATGTCCACTGTTCTTTCCTAAAATCATTAGTGGGAAGCGACATGACAATATCCACTAGTTTTCCATGTATGTGATCTGCTTAGTCTTCATCCTTTAGGGGAGTCATTTTGATTATTCAAAAATTTACAAGAGGAAACTTAGGCTCTGAGATGTAAGTAGCTTCCTATGAGTCCAGAGTTAGCAAGAGAGAGTTGTTAAACTACAATCTGAGAGATTCCAAATTCTTTGCTTATTCAAGTCATGCTGCCTCTGATGAAATCCATTTAGGTTTTCTTAAGAATAGTAAGACGTATAGGCAGGGATAGAACTGATCAAAGATAAAATAGGGGAAAATAGGTCTAGTGGTTTCTGGGGAATAGAGGCATAGAACCATACTCATTTCCCTAGAAAACAAAATTGGTTACTTTTGAACTTGTTAAAATTTCTCTCAGCTTCTGGGACTTTCTTTCACTGGTATTGTTTTACTTACATTCATAAGCTTACTGGAATATCAGGAAATGACCTGAAAATAATTGTACAATTTAAATTCGAGCTATAGAAGACAGAGAAGGAAAACAGTGGAACTCCTTCCCCAGGCAGATGACTGAAGGATAAGGAGAGGAGAAGCTTGCTGGAAACATTAAGGAGAAGGGGTCCTGGATGTTCGTACAATGTGAACATGGCTCTCAGATTCCAGAGTCCCAAACACTCGGAAACAGACACCACCATCAGAAATTGCAAGCTGATTGTTTTATTGGTATACTGAAGTTAGAGCATGACCCCGTGTTTCATGGCATTTGAAACACTGTTTTCTTCTTATTCACTTCCTGAAAAAGACAAACAAACAAGGAAGATTATAGACAACACTTGACCTGGCAGGAAATGTCTAATCCCTCACTGGTGTACTGCAGTGAGGGAGATGCAAGTCCCTACTCTTGCCCTCTATCCCTTCTACAGCCCCCTTCTCCTTAGTAATATTTTCTTTGTTCACTCTTTAAGCCATTGCAGGTAATGTGATTTAAACTGTTGCTTAGATGAGAAAGAGAAACAAGTATTGTTATGTTGTTCACGCTTTGTTGCTGTTGCTTATGTAAGGGCTATTTTTACAAAGATGGGCACTGCAACATATCCTGTAATAGTGAGAATGTGAAACCAGCCTCAATGTCCAGTAACAGGGATTGGTTAAATAGATTTTGGAACCACCAAACAATAGAATAGTATACAATTGTAAAAACAAACTAACCAACAAACACTGAAGAGATCTAAATGAACTCATGTGAATGTTTTCTAAACAATCAATTTTTCCTATGAATAAGACACAAATCTGAATATAGAGTATGGTATAAGTGGTTGTAATAAAAGCATTATATATATTTATGTAGCAATAAATATTTCAAAAAGGAGATTCCAAAGAGTAAAAGGTGGGGGTTTTGAGAAGGATAGAAGGGAAGAAAGATGAGTTAGGCTCTTACTATTTAGCTCTGTACCTTTTTGTTCACTGAGATTAGTTTTTGTTAGCTTATGCATGTATGACTTTAAATGTAAGTATTTTAAAAATGAGAAACCATTTAACAGCTGAAAGTTCAAGGATCATTTAGTGGGAATACTGGACATGAAAGCCTGATGTGAGGCAGGACTGAGCAAAGCATGTCCAGGTGAAAACTTTAAATGGGAGTCTTTGAGTTTGAGGAAAGAAAACAGAAAGCCAAAAGGAGAACATGGTTCTACACCACCCTCATCATCAACCCTATTTAAAACATGTAATTTGAACATAGTGATTTCCAAAATCAGATTTGCCTTCAAGAGCTTCTGTAAAACACAGGATATTGATACAATATACAAGAATATCTGAATAACAATTTTTAGAAATGTGTTCCAGGACAAGGCAATATTAACAGCTTTTCAATGAACTCATTGGCACAATGAAGTTGGAGAACTGTAGTAGTTGGAGCCTTCGATGGAGAATAAACTGGAATCATACTTGTCGTTGAATCCTAGATTACTGGGGAGACTGCTCCTTTGGAGGTCTTGATGGGCGGCTCCCTTGGGAAGGTGGAGGTGTTCCCTCGGGCTTTCCAGGACGAGGTGAGGGACGATGATGGTGATGGCCTCCTGGTTTCTGTGTGTTTTGTGGCTCTCCTGTAGGAGGTGGTGGACGGTGGTGGTGGCCTCCGTGATGGGGTGGTTTCTGCTGAGGGCCATCATCCTTGTTTCCATCACCAGCAGGGTGTCCTCCCAAAGGTGGTCCCTGATGCGCCTCATCTATGAACTGGTCAGAGTCTTCCTCATCTGTGTGAGTTGAAACAAGAAGAGCTGAGCTCAGAGCTGGAAAACCCTCCTGTCTTCATACCTCTCTGCTTCACCACAGAGCCCTTCTCTCCCTGACCTGCGTCTCAACTCCCAACCTCCCCAATTCCCAAGGCTTCCTGATTAGAACTCCTCTTCATCCACGTAAGGGTGATGAAAAATCGAATTTCTTTGTTCATGGTCCCCAGAATCAAGGTTGGGAGAAAACTACTTATATCTCTAGGGCACTGACATTACTTAATTCCTGAGAAGAAAATATTAATAAGAAGACACTTGAGAGTTGATCAATTCTTCGGGAAAAAATGGAGGCAAAATTTACTGAGAATTTATTGGAATTTACCTGATATTATGGAGGGAACGTCTTCCTGGCTGACATCTAGAAAAGAAGTAGAGGATGATGGGAAAAGTTACTTCGTGCATCTTTCAGGGCTCATAGTGTCCTACGAGGAAAAGGGACCTCTGATCACACCCTGTGCATCTCCCTTTGTGACCTCATCAGTCACTGTCTGATGCTATTGGAAGTGGAGGAAGATGTAAGAGGAAGCAGGGTTGTTACTACACTGAGCATCAACCAGGAACTCAACAGAGAAGGGCCCCTGTTGGTCCTGTCATGATTCCTCAAGCCTTAGTGCTTATTTAGTTAAACTGCTCTGAGTATTTCAATGACATATTTGGGGATTCTTCTGCCCTCTTTCATCTGTAAATATGTTGCTTATGTTTGCAAGCTTTCTCAACAGAAGCCACCAGAAGTAACCACTTGGATACAATCTGACGCATGCCACTCCCAGCACCTTGAAATACTACATGCAGGAGAGAAGAAAATGACAGTGTTTCACTCTGGTTATTGTCTATCTCTATGTAGACAGAGACAAGTGTTTTACCCATTTCTGTGTCTGGGCAGTAGCTCTGACATGTGTTTATCTCCTTCATGATGCTCAGCCACTGTACAGCAAGGCCAGCATCATCCCTGTCTACCGGGATCAGTACAGGATCTTCACAGCTGCACTTCCCTGACTCTGTCTTGCATTCTCCACGTCCTTCACAGCAGTCCCATGTCTCTATAAATGCAAATCTCACTCTCTCACTTCCCTGGTACAAATTCTTTATCGGGTTCTATTTGTGCAATCAATAAACTATGAGGCCTTGATGAGGAATGAAGGCACAACAGGTCTTCTGATCCTTGGCATGAGAACTCTGCAGTCCCATCTGTTTACAGCCCCATCTGTTTTCTCATCCTCTTCTCTTCCCTCCTCTTTCCCCCTCTATAGCGTTTGCCCGTAAACCCCAATCAGAGTCACAATCTCTTCCCCCAACTGGTCTTACCTTCACTTGAGCTCTGAACTGAGCTGAAGGCCAGCAGGGCCACTGACAGCAGAATCAGAAGCATCTTGCAGGAGGCTCTGGAATCACTCCCAACTTTGTGCTGGGAGAACGTGTCAGCTCCCTTTATAAAGACAAGCAGAACAATGGCGCATTTGAGCTCCCTGCTGGGTGGGCCTCATCACCTCAGAGACTGGGTTCTGCTTTGCTTACTGCAGGTCAAGTGTATCCCTCATTTCTTTGGGACTCTAGCCCAGCAGGAAGGGTTGGGTAGGACGTTGTTTGTATCTAATATCTAAAAGGTACAACTATGACTTGGATACATGTTTTGACAGAACTGTGTCCAAGCAATCAGCACAGTGTCAGAATTGAACTTTCGACGTCATTTGGTTTTCAATCTGTTTGGAAAGACTGCTATTCTGATTTCCACTGTGCTTTCTGTTTCTGTGTGTGTGTGTTTGTGTCGGTGTGTCGGGGTGGTGGGCAGCTATCCCACAGCTAACAGTGAAGATGGTCAATATCTCTGACTCTTTTTGTAGCCTATCTCCATCTCTCGTAATGTGTGTGTGTGTGTGTGTGTGTGGATATTTCCACATTTAGCTAAATTTTTCATGGAATAGAGATAGTCTTTTTTATCTGTGAGATGTGTGAGGACAGCACACTCCTGGGCACACATAGATGTGAGAAAGTTACCCCATAGCCTGCTCAGGCTACAGGAACTGTCCAAACTCTGTGGATCTCACTACACTCAGGCAAGCCCTGGTGCTGTACAACACAGGCAAGCTAAAAAATTTGTATTTTAAAAATATCTTTATGGTTTATTAAAACAAAACTGAACACAGAAACCACCAAGGGGTTTCTAGACCTGAACAAACTGAATATATGGTTCCCTAAGTGAGCCAGACGATGTCATATAGCTAAGACCTCTACTTTCTCCAGAATATTCTATATAATTCATCCTCTACTTTATTTCTTCTAATAAATATTATAATTGTCATCACTGATAATTAAATCGCCACAATTATACATTCAACTAAGATAATTTGTAATGTTATCCGCCTTGGATTGATTGGTCTTCTGTTTTTTACTCAGTAATTGTATCACGTGTTTCATCAGAGTGTTCTTTCACACAGAGGATATTTATCTATAATATTCTAATACTCTTTCTTTCTCACACTTATTTGTCTATATCTTGTATTCTGAATCTAGCTTGCCGTGTTTACTTTTCTTCCTATATCTTTTTTTTCTCCCCACACAAATGTCCGTTACTTATTCTTCTAAGTGATGGTGTATGGTACTCCTCACTACCTTTACTTTCATTTTTTTCTGTATAATTTGACAATAAAAAATTAAGTTTCCAAAAATCCCTGTCAGGGTCTTGATTTGGTAGCTCTCTCCTCAGCTGCTGATTGCTCCGGGATACCTAGAAATTCCGTGTTCATCAATTCATAAAATATACTAGTCAGTATCACCAGCTGCACTTTCCAATTCAGACCTTGTGTAGGCCTTGTGTAATTTTTCACTTTTTGTGCATGGCTAGTCTTTATTTGAAGATAGCTTCATTGGAGGTATGGCTGAGAGGCCATGTGACAGAAAATCATAAAGACAAGCCCCTAGCCAGGTGTGCATGAGTGGATCCTGTGCTGTGCATACAAGGGTCTGGTCTGGCCCTTCTGAAGAGTTACAGATAATAATACAAGAAGCCTTCCTAGTAGATTAGATTTTGCTGCATACAACATTGTTCTTGTAAGGGACCCAGACAGATTGTTATTTTCCCTGGAATAAATATAGACCGATTTGAGGGGGAATGCCTTCTTAATTGTCAATTCTTCTCTGGCCCTGTGGGAAGTGGATCAGTTCTAGTTGGGCTTTATGAATTGCATCTTAAGCATAGAGTAGTTGCTTGAGCCCAGCAGCTCCCAGTGTGTTAGGGAGATTATTGTCTCTGGTTTCACCAGATACTGTTTTCCATAGGAGGTGGAAGTGAGCAGTCTTGCCTAGGTGACGCCAGGTCAACCATCATGTCAAAAACGAAGGTCAGAGAAAAGGAACAAAGAGGAGTGCCAGGCAGATACTGCCTGATGATGTGGGCAACTGAGAAATCTGCAGGCCTAGTGCAAGACAGGTTTCTTCTTGGCAGCAGAGTACAGGAAAAGAACAGGAAATGCTCCTAAAGGTCACTCAGCTCAGGCCTGTTCCCTAAACTTCTCCAATGTCAGCAATCAGCAAAAGAGACTAGTGTATCTGGAAAGCATAAATATCAGCTATGCTCTCACCAGACAAATCAAAAACAGAGGTAATGGAAGAGCTGAAAGGGACACTGTCTGTGAGTGAGGGTGGGTGGGTGAAAGAGAAAAGCAGGACTGCTGCAGGAGCTTGGGCACCTAGAGGTGAGTGGCAGCCCTCAGCACCACACTTGCCTTCTACTATAGATGTTCACATTCTGAGGCCCTGAAGGGTCAGTCTTCAACATATGAAATTTTAGGATTCATCTCTCATAACACATCCCAACATTTTCTCAGTTACTGACAGGTATTTACCTAGTGGTTCAAAACTCCTCACTCCCTCCATCATTAGCTGATCTAATTGCTTCCGCCTTCAAAATACATCCCAAATATGACCACTCGCATGACCTTTCCTAGAAGGTGATTGTTCAGCCACGATGCTCTCTCCTGGAGGACTTTAACAGCTTCCAGCTGGTCTTGGTAACATTCTTCCCCCAGCTCATCCCATATCAGTCTCCTCACAACAATCAGAGTGATCATTTAAAAGTAGAAATTAGGTCATATCACATTTGTGCTTCAAATCCCCTGATTTTCCTTCTGCACTTATGATAAGATCCAAATTTCATCCCTCAGCTCTTTCACACCCACATGGCTCACTCTTTTTTGAATACCAGGAAGCTCTCTGCATGGAACAGAAAGTAGAATCTTCTTCAGCTACACCATCCTCTAGTTTGCTTGGAGCACTAAAGATGATTTGCCAAGAAAGATAAACATTGGCAGAGGGGATAAACTTCTCTGAGAGTCAGTGAGTTGCATTGAGTCACTGGTGTCTGGCAGTGTTGCAAATTAGAAGAATTATTGTATTAATTGCACCAACTAGGCAATCTAACAATACAGTTAGCAAATAAACATAATAGTCTCTGAGATTTCAGCTTGCTTTGACTTGTCTAAAAATTTTATTGACACTATTATGGTGGTCTTCTATTTTTTTTAATTTGATATTGATCCATAAATATATATTATATATTTCACAATTAATTTAGCATATTTATTTATTTATTTTTGAGATGGTATCTTGCTCTGTCGCCCAGGCTGGGGTGCAGTGGTGCGATCTCAGCTCACTGCAACCTCTGCCTTCTGGGCTAAAGCATTTCCCCTGCCTCAGTCTCCCAAGCAGCTGGGATTACAGGCACCCACCACCCCGCCCAACTAACTTTTTGTACTTTTAGTAGAGACGGGGTTTTACCATGTTGCCCAGGCTGGTCTTGAACTTCTGACCTCAGGTGATCCACCCCCCTCGACCTTCCAAAATGCTGGGATTACCAGGCATGAGCCACCGCGCCCAGCCAATTTAGTGTATTTCTGTTCTTTCCACCTATCCTAACCAAATTGGTTATAATAGAAAACTTTGGTTAAGCATTTACTATATTCCATTTAATCATCAAAACCATTTTATTAGGGAGATACGATTGTTAGTATTACCTTAATTTTATAGATGACATGACTTAGGTACATATCGAAGTTCTCATAAATGTAGTAAGTTGAATAGAAGGCAGTCAGTTCTCAGAGCTTTCTGTGCTCCACTACTTACTTGCTGTTCATTTATTCATTTCGTTACTACAGTGCGAGAGGGAATGAGGCTCACAGAAGAAACATATGTTCTCGTATTAGGAAATTATCAAAGTTAAGCTTTCCTAACACTTTAACAGGTGAAGTGAGAAATATTTTTTTTCTGAGTAAATACGTTTGTTTTAAATCATAAGCTCATTTACATAGGCTTCCTGTAACCCATTTTCCTCTTGCCTTCATATAAAGACACTCATATGATTAATTCCTTTTCTGGGGGCGGATTACGAAAACCCTGTCAATGTAGATGCTCTATGTGCTTTCTTAATATACACTACATGCATTTTTCTGGTGAGCCATGTTAGCATTGGTAAAATTTGTGCATACCCTTTTAAATGGACCAAACGTTGATTCTAATCATAATGAATCTAACATTTTAGAAATCCGCGAGAGACCGGTCTGAGATTTGTCTATAAAGGGATAAATTTGCATAGCACTTACACAAATTTCAGTCTTCTATCTGAGAGTGTCTCCTGTGTCCTGGCCCCAGAGCTGGTGTTACTGAAACATGTCAGGGTCACTGGTCTCATTGTCTGAGGTGTTATCCGAGCTCATGGTCTCAGGACCAAGAAAATTAAGGAGTGTGGACACAAAGGGTGAGGCTGGAGCAAAAGTTTAATACACCAAAGAAGAAAGCTCTCTGCAGTGGAGAGGGGAGTCAAAGTGGATTGCCATTTTTACAGTTGAATCCAAGAGCTTTTATAGAAAACTGCTGTCATCTCAGTAGCTATTTTTCTTATCTATAAAATTGCCTGCACAATTCTTAGGTATGTATGTAGTTGTGTATGCAGTTGTGGATATGTCTTATGTATGTATGTGTGTAGTTATGTATGTCGTTGTGGATATGTCTCTAGGCAAGCACAAAGTGCAGCTTTTTGTTTGTATACTTGTGTGTTTGTTTTAAGTAAGCCCCCTTGCTCCCTCTGCAAGTGCCACGGAGCCCACTGTGTACATACGGCTTCTATGCCAGACTTTGCTACCTTGCCTGATTCTCTGTGGCTTATCTGGGCAGGCGCACCCTAGCTGTGATTTTTTGTGCAGGGAGCTTCTGCAGTCTGTTTTTCCCCAAGTTGCTCTGTTTTTCTGGTAGCTGTGTTTTTTCAGGCAGGCAGCGTTTCCAAGGACCAGCCTTATCTGTTTACCTAAATGATATTTTATTTTCTTCCCCCTCATTACTTCCTCAGTGGTTGGAGCTGAAAAGGAGTGCTAACCAGCCTAAAGTCAAGTGTCTGCCTTAGCAATGCCAGG